CCCCCAGGCCCACCTCCCCCACCCCTAGTACTTAACAGCTTGGAGTGGCTCAGCTCCCTGTTGCAGCCACCGGGACTGCCTGAATTATCAAAGCTCTCCGAATCTTTGGAAAAGGTTCGGAGAGCTTTGAATTGATTTGGACCTTTAAATTGGTCCCCTGATTCAATTTGGATTCAGAGATTCAGCCACCAAATCTAGCTGAATCTTCTTTGAATCGAATCACCACCTGAAGCTTTGCACAGCCCTACTGTGCAGTAACTTACTGTACAGTAAATGCACATATAGACTTGCCCAGTATGTAGCACATCTGGTACATGATTTTCATTTTGAAGATCTAAATGTACATTCTATTGATATGGCAGGTACTTTAGTGAGAAAAATATTTGAAGCTTATACTAGATTTATTGAGGTCCTTTTCCTCTTATAGTTTTGGAGATTAACTGATTGTGATATACTTTGAGTATGACACTATAGCTCTGCATTTTTGTAATCTAATAATAAACTCAGTGGCAATTATATTAAATAGGTCTGGCAGAAAACCAGGTAGGAAATAACTATAACATTCATGTGTGTAGCTGAAGTTTATTTTGAAGAAAATACTCCATATTCTAGCTGTTTTTAACTGGTAAAGGTAAGATGGAGGAACATATATTGGAAAAAAGATGATTTAGACGGCAGTACCCCGAGCCAAGAATGCACAGCTAGAGCCTTGTGGGTAGTGGGTATGTATGAATTCTCAGCAGTAGCCTGCCTCCTATGTCCAGAAAATAAAAGAGAATATGAAAATTTGTATGTATTGATTTCTTCTTACCTTTTAGGTATGTCCTTCAACAAGTGGATTGTTGTTTCTTTGCCATCTGCAAGAATCAGGGAATGATAAAAGTTGAAGAGACCATTTTTGAAGCTCTGTTGGGAACCAGCAGGCACATTCTTCAAATGACACAAAGAGATGGCTATGAGAAACTGAAAAAGCAGATAAATCCAGACTCTGGACATCTTCAGCAGCATCTTTTGTAGGATGAAAAAGTTTATAATCACTATTACTTTCAGTGGAAAAAAAAGAAGCAAACCCCACAAATCTCTTTTTGTGGAATTTCCTTTGCTAAAAATAATTATAATCAGAAACTGTAAACATTCACCACAATGCAGAAAGTAGCCAATCTGTACTTTGCTGAATTACTGTATGTTCACTAAGAAACGTCTTAGTCTTTGACCCATCTCTCAGCAAAGACTAATAGCAGAGGCTGTAGTAAGGTCCCACAGAACCAAATATATGAAAAATATTGTGATACACAGCACAAGTATAATTGAAGTAGAGAATTATAAATAAAATTAAATGACAACTGAACAAATGAATGCCCTGGCTTATTCACTGTATTTGCTTGCCTTGCTGCCTTTTCAAGATTCAGTCATAAATGCAGGGGGATCCACCAATCAGAAATTAGTTAATTTCTTAAGGAGTATCACTAATTAATGTTGTTTTTATAGGGTTTTGGTACTTTTATTCTATCATATCAATGGTAAATTCATCAGAATAACAAGTATGCTTACTGAAAATAGAGAAAATTGTACAAAACAGAGTAAAAGTATGAGTAAGTGGAGTGTAGGCAATCTCAGGTTAGAGAAACCAAGCTGGAACTTGGTATATTTTAAATTCTCTGCATGTTTTATTTAGGGAAAGGCCATATAAATGACGGTTGGACAAATAATTTTGAAATTCCATCACTCTGTCTCCCATTCTTTCCACATGTTCTCAGGGATGTTTCCAACCCATTGCTGCAGTCTTGTCTCTGTCAGACTCTCCCCTTTTCACTCTTTTCAGAACTTCATTTTAATATTTTATCCCTTGCCAAGACATTTTATTATCAGTATGGAATCTAGACAACGAATGTGTGAAGCTTAAACAATTCCAGGAAAGAATCTGGAAATGCAGATGCTATTAAAAATCTGTTACATATATTGCTACATGAATAAAAGAATCAGGTAAGCACTGGAATTTTGTTTTGTTTTAAGATTGTTTGTTATCCTTGCAGTCTTTACACATCTGCTTCATATTAATCTTCAACAATAGAGAGAATTGCTGAATCAGGAAGGGGGACACTGCCTTTTCAAAACTGGTGCCAAATGCAGCTCAGTTGGTTAGCAGGCAGAGGGTGCTGAGAGAGCAATATGTTAGGGGGTTTTTTGGAAATAGATAACTTCTTGCATTTTGTAAGTAACAAAAGAGAGAAAAGCCTTTGCAAATGTGGCTATCATCCACTGATAGAGGAGAACATTACAGAAGACTAATCCATGAAATTATGAATCCATGATTTATAATCTGCCAAATTTTGGGGACGGATACTTTCCTTTTGCAGCCTGTAAATGTATTAAGAAAAACTTGGCAAGTCTATAACTTAACATAATTACTGCTCATTAAGAACAATATTTATAAAAGATTAAAAAAAAAAGAACAGCTTCTTCAGAATGCCATCTACATTTAATTTTTATCATTTAATTCACCCAAATTCACCTGTGAATTATGATGTGTAAAACTTGTTTTTGTAGGTGATTTCCCAAATAACTAGTGTCTCTCTGCGGCTAATATTACTACAGAACATCCTAGTTAACATCATAAAAAATGTTAGACTATCCTCTTCCATTCTGTTTTAAATATGTTTTGGTCACATTTATAACAACTGATTAAATAGACTATAGAACAACTATTATTACAAATCAAGTAATGGTTGAAAATATTATTCTTTATTTTGATTAGTAGTATAAATCCTTTCACGGAGCTTTTGCTAAGACTTGTGATCTTTCTCTACCATTTTTGTCATTCTCTCTTTCTAAATATGGCTTATAGACTCAAAACAAAATTCTTCAATTTTTTTTTCATTGCCTTTTAAACAATGACATTCAAGTTGCCCTGCACTTCAGTTTTTGCCCTTGTGGCTTTTTAAGTGGCAGCACTTTGCAAACAATATTTACATAGCTGTAGCACAATTTTCTTGTCCCAAGGAAGAAGAAATAGATGATCATATTATCCCTAACAAAGAATCAAACTAAGGGCTCATTTTTCTTGACATATTCTCTGATTTTTGGAGAGACATTAAAAAAAAATAAGAAAGAAGCAAACTGAAATTACTCTTACCTATTTTGCTTATTCTCTCCAAGCCTCTGACTTCTTTTGCAGAAACAAAAATAACACAAAACCACACAGATCTCTCAAGTGTCTTCAGATAGATGAAAACCAAAACAGTGAAACCACTTTAAGAGCAGAGGACTGATTTTTCTTTATCACGTCTAAATAGATGTTTAATTTAAACGTCTTTAGGCTTTCAAACAAGGAGAAGTTAATTTGTATTGTAAAGCAAACAAAGAAGTGTAATTTTGAATCTTCAAAGTCTTAGTTACATTGTCAGTTCTAGGATTTCGGGGGGGGAGGGGGGGATTCATGTGTTCCTTCTCCAACAGCAAAACCTCACTCCCTGCACAAGGTGTCAGCCAGACTGTTACAGCAGCCTAATCCCACTGGTGGCTGGCCAGAGAGCCAGTCTTTGACAGAAGTACACAGGGAGGAGGAGGAGGTGACAGAAAGAGAAACAGAGAAAGAGAGGAATGAATACATTAACCCTTTTCAGTCTATTATATTAGCCAGCAAGGGGGCACAGACATTTCTGTGTGGAAATCGTAGGTTTGGATTAATAACTCTATATTGCTTCCCCACTGATCCTTCAACATTACCACCAATTGTCTTTCAAGCTGAAATATTTTCACGTACCCCCATAGAAACTGGAGATGGAATGTGCAGTTCCCTAGATCTCTGGAATCCATAGAATGAAGAAGTGTCATATTAACTCAGGGGTACTGTATACATAGGTGGAAGGAGAAAATATTATTTGGGGGGGGCAAGGTATACACACACACACACACACACACACACACACACACACACACACACCCCAACAGGTAAGTCTCTGGAAGGGAAGGGGTCAGGGGAGAGGGAAGGGTCTGTGGGGTGGCAGATTGAGGCCCCACAGCGAGGGAGGGAGTGAGGCAGGGGCTGGGGCAGAGGCTGGAATGAATGGTGTTACTTACATTGCCAATTGCTCAAATTACAAGCAAGACTTTATAAAGCATCTGTCTTACATTTCTTTAACTGTCTTTGATCTCTTTGAAGCTCCACTGCCTGCATAACACTTTACCTTGCTATAACTTGCACTTGTAACTTACACCTTACAAACTTCACAAAAAACACACAACTGCTCTTGTAACTATCCATAAAAGACTGTAACCCTTCTATCATTTACACAGCCTTTCCAGCAGAGAGATGACTTTCTCTGCTCTCTTCTAGCTTCCTATTGCAAACACAACAGGAGGTTCTTACTTAATCTTAAGCAGACCACAACATGTACCCATGTCCACTACTCTGCCTGATCCAGACAAAGGTTTCTGGTCAGAAGTAACAAACCACCTCTCCTGCACAAAACTTACAACCCTAGTCACAATTACCATACAACTTTACCTTACTTCAAAGTTTAGCTAACCCCTTTAAAATGCCTCCTAACAGTTAGTTAGATGGAAGAACAGATTTTTAGTAGCTTCCCATAAAAGCCACATTGCTGCAGCCTCTTTTTTCATGGAGTGTGGTGGTATATTATATATCTGTATATAGTTCTTAAATTTATCTTTTAAATTTGCAATGGACAGGTATCTGTTACTGCCCGCTTGGTCTATGAGCTATGTCCAAATCGCTGCAGCACTTGTTTTAAAAGACTCATATCTTGCAGATATGTAGGCAGGGGATCTTTGACATCTTTCATATCTGCCTCACTCTTAACTGTTTTCCTTTTAAACATCTTATGTTTCCAATACTGTGTCTACTTATTATGGTTACCATTTGTTGTTATTCAAATCCAGTATACTAGTCTGTAAAAATGTGCCAAAAAGTCTGATTTCCAAGATAACTGAGTCTGAAAACAAAACTCAAACTAAAGCAATGGACCCCTCTCTATAGGTGGTCCAGACTACCCCGGCAGTCCGTAACCCACAGGTGGGCTTCTAAGTATCCACAAACAAAACTCAAACCAAAACAATGCAACCCTTTCTATAGACAGTCTGGACTACCCATAAGGTCCATAACCCACAAGTGGGCTTCTAAGTATCCACAACCCACAGGTGGGCTTTCCACGTCAAACAACTTGTCTAAGTATCTAAGTACCCACAGATGGGCTTCAAATTCTCTAAATCAAACAAATTGCCTATCTTCAGACATTCCTCTATTTTTTAAAAGTGGTCAGTCTAACCCAAGACCACTATACCCAGCACTTCTACCACTGGGCGGTGTGCACACCTCCAGATAGACAGAAAAACACATATACAGAAAACACATACACAGACGAAACTTACTATACAGATAACATACAACTGATCAATAACTGCAACATAGAACCTTTTTCACCCACACACGCATTCTCCAACAAAAATGTTACTCAAATTGCCAATTGCTCAAATCACGAGCAAGACTTTATAAAGGGGGATAAGGCAAGGTGCCATGCTTATTGATCACATGAGTAAGACAGAGTTCCGGGCACACCATACATACAAACACACACAAATCATCATACACATCATTACACACAGGCATACACATACACAAAACAACCATTTCATCCACACATACACTAGATATACTTATCAGCAATAGTTGCGCAATATCAGCCCAGGGTGGCCAACCCAGGCTTATTGAGTAGATGATGATGATTTGAAGATTGCAGATTTGAAGATAATAGCTGGAGTGGGGTGAACAGATGTATCTATGCTCTGATGAAACAGCAGTAGAGAAAGAGACTCACCCAACTTGGCATTTTTAAAGTGTTCTTTTATAGGGATTGGCATCCTTTGTTTCAGTGCTTTGGGGTTTTTTCATACCCAGCTTCTGTTTTTGTGATTGTACTTTTTTTGTCTTTGACGTATTTTAGCCTTGGAGTGTTCTTGCTGCCCGTCTGGCAGGATTGGTGCATTCCTTCTCCTCACTATTTTTTTTGTGCCCTAGGCCTAAAAGGGATTCTTCAGCCATTCATTAATTAGTTCACTGACTGATAACTTACATTTGGCACCTTGTTGCTTACATAAACAGTTAAATCTTCTTCTCCGGTCTCTATGCCATTCTCTCACCACTCACCCTTTTACACGCACTCATACATAAAGGCTATGCAGAGTTCATTCACTTATGTCAAGCAGAAGGGTACAAAATGAAGTTTTCAAGTTGCTTATAGGACAAGACTAACATGGCTATTTTTCACTATTATTACACTCTATGTTAACATCAGCTACATTAGTTTAGTTCATGCTACAATGGGGCCGTGGGGCAGGTGGTGGGATGGTTGGAGCCCGGGCCACTCATTCAGGGGCCCGGTGGGAGCGGGGCATATGCCCCCCAGATTTGTGAGCTGGGCAGAGGTAGGCTGATGTCTCAGGGTGTGAGCAGTGGTGGGAACCCACCTGCAACCCTGGAGGAGCTTCCTGGGCTTTGACCATCCCACAACCTGCCCTGGGACTCCATTCACCCCATCTACTGCCCTGGCCCACTCCTTACCTCACTGTGGGGGCCTCAGTCTGGCCCTTCCCTTGTCCCTTCCCCTTCACAGACTCTCCTGTCATGCTGGACTGTGCTCCACCACCACTGGGCTGCGATTCTGGATGAGTGCAGGCTGCAGCTGCATGTCTGAGTCTCTGCATGTCCCTCCCCACCTCATGCAGCCACCTGGAGCCCATGCCCAGGCTGCCCTGTGGCCCTCTAGGCTGCTACTTCTGCCCCACATTTGTGGGGGAGCACTAAGACCCATTAGCCCTGGTCTTCCACCACCTATGACTGTTTATCAGTTATTAATGGTCCAAAGTTATGATGAAAGAAACATTAATTTTTTTTTAAATAGCCTGGAAGGAACAATTTCTTGAAGACTTTTGAGCCTCTGTTGAACAATGTTGCTTGGTTTTCTTGCCTTCCTGAAGTTGTGTGGGAAAGTGACTTCAGAAGTGCATAGTTTGAACTATAACTGGAAACTGGGGTGCCAGGGAGGGAAGGACACAGATAAAACACATGTAAGAAACAAAAAACTTCTACTAGTTAGGGTAGATAGTGCACATCAAGATGTTCCAAAGTCTCAAAGGCTTTGGACAGAAATTAAACATTAACTGGTATAAGTAGTCAGAAACTGGTTCAAATCTGTAACACAACAGAAGTTCAGTGCATATAAGCCACTTTCAAAATGGCTGAAATCAGTTTAAGATCAGTTTATTGAACTTCTGTCCCAGATCCCCTCCAGATTCAAGTTAACACACAGTCCCCACCATCCCAGGATACTTTGCACCTCCCTTGAACCGCCCCCCACCCCACAGGGTAGGTGGGCTAGCCTTGGCCCAAGCTGTCTGCCAAGCCAAGCCAAGCCAAGCCAAGCCAAGCCAAGCCAAGCCAAGCCAAGCCCCCACTACATGCAGCAGTGCATGTGGCCATAAGCCAGGCCAGTGGCAGCAGAGTTGGGTGGCAGGGAAGCCCAGCAGGGAACAGAGCGTGACCTGGAGAATGGGAGGCAACCCTCCAGGACTGGAGTAGTAAGTTACCCTGGAGAGAGGGTCCCAACAGGGGAGGAACCCCCCAGGGTTGCAAAGGGGCACCATGTGGGCCGCTCCTGTGTGGTAGTGGGGGAGCTTAGGAGTCTTACACACACACACACACACACACACACACACACACACACACAATTATTATTTAAAAATGCAGATGAACCATAGAACAACCCAGAACAAAGGATATTGATCAGACAACCTTATAACTCTATTAGTATACAAACTATTGCTTCAACTTATTCACATAAACTATAAGGCACAGTCTACAAGTACAACCAGCAATCCTTAGATTACCTGGGTGCCCTCCAGGGCAGGGACTCCACTCCCAAGGTACAACTACAGGAAAGGAATGGGGGGTGGGGGGGAGAAAAGGAGAGGGAGACCCTAAAGACTCCTAAGCTCCCCCACTCTCACACAGGAGCGGCCCATGTGGTGCCCCTTTGCAACCCTGTGGGTTCCCTCCCCTGTTAGGACCCTCTATCCAGGGTAACTTACTACTCCATAGATACTACTCCATAGTCACATGTATACCTGGGCTACGCTAGAATCAAAAGTGAATGTCTGTTCACTTGCTTATCCGTTCAATCTATTCAGTTTAAATTAACCTGTAAAGATTAAATCAATTTAGCTTCAGGCGTTTTGACTGTCTTTATTTAGCCAATGATGCTTGGTCTGTCCAAAGGAGGCCAGAGCTTTACTAGAATTCCCCTGCGCTTGTATTGGTTGTTGTGCTGTGGCAAACATTAGGAAAGGATTTGTATTGTAATTTTACACATTTATAGAGACTACTTCTCCTGATTCCAAAATCAAATTCTTTGTTCAGTGTTCAAGGAGTCAATCCTTGCTGTGATTTGTCACCACTGCTACATAACAGTGTTAAAAGTTG